ATATCGGCCAAAAAAATCGGCATCATATATCGGCCATCGGCCAGTGAAAAACCCATATCGGTTGACCTCTAGTCACAATGCAAAATATCTTGATGATCACAATTTTCTTTATAGAACAAATAATTTCTAATATAATTTGTAATGCCAGAAAAAGAAATCGTAAATGATATTATTTTCATTACATCTGAGTGCATTTTATCCCAAATTCTAACAAAATGAATCCGTTTTATTTTATTTTTTTTATTCCTATTATTTGCAATAGAGATTTTAATAGAGATTAATAATTTTTTTTTTAATAATTCCCAGTAATAATATTTAAATCCGCATAAATTAAAGACTGATGTGTGTGTATATATATATAATATATTGCATTATTCTTTTTTTTTTTCTTGCATTACAATAATGAAAATTTGGTATAAAATGTGTTTAATTGCCATTTTATATATATATATATATATATATATATTAGTATACATCAGCCTTTAATTTACGCATCATAATGCAAAATATCTTGATAATCTAGAAGACTTCATTTACTTTACATTTACATAAACTTCAAACACAATTTCTAATATAATTTGCTTGCTGTTGATTTTAGTGGTGAAATGTGATCTGGACATGTTCCTGACTGGCTCCTGTTTGTCTTTCAACCTGTACAGGTGTGTCCTCTTCACACTCTCAGGCATCTGCCTCTGACATCACAGTCTGCTGACGTCACATAACTCGTGAAGCGTGTCAGACGGATCTCGCTGCAGGTGACAGGAGGAACAGGTGTGTGCAGGTGTGTTCTTACCTTTGCCATCTGAGCCTGAACTCCGCTGGTCTTCAGAGCGCTGACGGCTTTCTGAGCAGCAGCAGGGCTGTCAAAGTCTACAAAGCCATAGCCTGAGAGAAAGACATGCACAACATGAGCTGTGATACAGCTTTAAAGAGACTGCACACAGTTTTAATAATCGCCACATCGCGTCTGCACTATAAGTGAGCTGCACAGTTGACACAGGAATTGTCACTTGCACAAACGAGGCAGTGTCGCATAGTCACTAAAGTTTATAATTTGCATTTCTTTTTAAGCCTTGCCAGTGTTTAAACGGTGGCTCATGCACTCTCAGAGCGCCGCTCACATAAGGCCACCTCACATTCGGCTCACAAACTCAGGCTTGTGCTGTGTGTAAGCTATGGTGCAACAATTGCCCCATTGTTAAAAGAAAAATGCACTGCATTATCAAACATTTAGGTGAGAATCATATATTTTTGAAAAAAATATCGCCTCACAAGAGTCACCTAAGAAGGGAATTCCCCCCCCATTTTCAAAAATGAAATTCAGGCCCTGAATGAATGTCTGTAAAAATCCCAATTGGAACATCACTATAAATAATTCTAAATTACGAAAAGAAGACTTCAAAAAGATCGGTATCAGTGATCGTATCGGCAGATACTGCTACCTGTGATCGGTAGGGTTGGGTATCGAGAACCGGTTCCAAATTTCCAATAATCGGGTATTCGATAAGACATGTGCATTTCGATTCCACTTAACGATTCCCGCGTTCGCATTTTAATGTGATTTTAAACCATGTGCAGGAAGGGAAAGAACTTGCACACTGTTTGAGTCAGAGAACAGTGGTCCCGATGCAGATTCCCGACCTGTGTCCGTTCTCGAACTGTTCCGTGCATTTCCACAAAGGTTGTTCCGGGCCAGAACTGACTTCTTTCACATTTATCGACCAGTATGCACGAAATACGTCGGTATATCATCATAAACACAGCCGTTTTTTTTGTCTTAAGTGAACGTAAACAGATGAGAAAGAAAACGCATGTGTAACAGTATTTTTAGATCTGTGTGTGTTCGGTGTGTTAAAGAGACAGCCGTTTAATAAACGTGCTGCCTATCATTAATGTTAATCAAAGAACAAAAGAAAATCATTAACTGACTGAATATCTTTCGTAAATTTAATGAGGATTAATCAATATTTTATTTATGAAAAGAAAACTATACAGTGTTTTTAAACTTTTGATTTCAATTTCTGTACCTGACATTTGTTCAGTTTTATTTATTTATGCTATTGCTAATTAATTTGTTTACTTGTCTTTAACAATTTAATGTTTGAAATTTATATTAGTCTAGTTGCTTTTTTCTGTGGTATTTTTCTGATAAAACCATAGACATAAAAAAAAAAAAATATTTGACTTAAAATTTGTTTAATCGATTTTTTTTATCTTATTGGAATCGGAATTAGACCTGTGTCCGTTCTCGAACTGTTCCGTGCATTTCCACAAAAGTTGTTCCGGGCCAGAACTGACTTCTCTTTCACATTTATCGACCAGTATGCACGAAATACGTCAGTATATCATTATAAGCACAGCCGTTTTTTTTGTCTTAAGTGAATGTAAACGGATGAGAAAGAAACACATGTGTAACAGTATTTTTTTAGATCTGTGTGTGTTCGGTGTTAAAGAGACAGCCGTCTAATAAACGTGTCCTGCCTATCGACCCCTTTAATCAAAGAACAAAAGAAAATCATTAACTGACTGAATATCTTTCGTATTTAAAATGAGGATTAATCTATTTTATTTATGAAAAAAAAACTTTACAGTGTTTTAACTTTTGATTTCAATTTCTGTACCTGACATTTGTTCGGTTTTATTTATTTATGCTATTGCTAATTAATTTGTTTACTTGTCTTTAACAATTTTGAAATTTATATTAGTCTAGTTTTTTTTCTGTGGTATTTTTTTGATAAAACCATAGACATAAAACACAATAAATCTAAATATTTGACTTATAAAATTAGTTTAATGGATTTTTTTTTCTTATTGGAATTAGGAATCGATAAGAATCAGAATCGATAAGCAGAACCGGAATCAGAATCGATAAAATTCAAACGATACCCAACCCTAGTGATTGGCGATCAGTGATCAGCTCAAAAATCCTGATCAGAGCACCCTTAGAAAATTTAAAGGAACTTCACGCAACAACAAATGACGTAATTTACAAAAAAATACAATTTACCAGAAAATAAAGATGCAAGGCTCAAAAGATCTTAAATGACACCATCTAACGGATACACTGATGTTTTTTTGATGCACACAGAACCTCCCGTGAGAGTGTTGGAATTACGAAGTGTGTATTGGGTAAAAACACTTTAAGGGCCGCAGCAGGAAGCAAAGCTCTGCTTGTAGAAGTGTGCTGTGAGTCGTATATCAAGAGAAGCGCTGCATTATCAGTGTTTGCTTCCTCTAATGAGAACAATTAAATGGACACGAGGAAGCGGATCCAAGATAAGTCCTTGCATTCAGCTCCACCCTTCACTCCTCTGCTGTAACTGCTGCTATATTTAATCAGCCAACAGGTCAAACCACAAACCCATGTCTGTGTGTGTCAAAATCGTGATTAAAATCAAAATCGCAAAATTGATAAAAGAAATTGCGATAGTTTTTTTTTTTTGTCCATATCGCACAGCCCTAGTTAAAACTTTAATTTAAAAATTTAACCCAACAGCTGGGTTAGTCCATATTTGACCCAGCATTTTTTTTAGAGTGTAACATTTCAAGATGAACACTTACTGGACTGAAGTCATTTTTACTTGATTACCCATCATTTGTATTTTTTTTTTTTAGAAAAATCCTGTTCAAATGCGATTATCAAATATGATCTTTAGGCTTTTGAGGAATGTTTATTTGTTCATGTCTCAATCATCATTGTATTGCATTGCATTATATGTTTATATGTTATGTCATAAAACTAATGATTGAAATATCATCTTACTAAAACATGTTATAGGGAGATAAAGAGTGACGATTGACATTTACATTTTATGTAAGTGTCTGCTATGCTTTTATAAAGATCTCACTGATTTACATTACAAGCATTAGAATTGAATCTTAACTTTAGTCCATATAAATATCAGCATCTACACCAAATTGCATATTTTTGCTCAATTTGGGTCTCTGATTAAAATGTAGGTGTTTTTTCCTCCATATTCTCACTATATCATACTATATGAGCTATAAAAGCCTGATGTATCAAATATGATACTCAAAAACAAAAGTGCAAACATTCTTTTAATATATTTTGCTATTATTTCAAGTATTTGTTGACATTGTTAACCAGACACAAACAACTTAACTGTAAAACTAGTCTAAACTAGAATCATTAGTCAAATAAAAAGCTTATTTTTACATTTCCGGCAAAATCACGTTGTAACTATACAATATATACAGTCTCGCCCAGCTTAGTGTTGAGCAGTTTGACGTGAAAGGGAAAGTCAGGCTCTGCTGGTTAAACTATGGGTTGGGTCAGTCACTCAGTCACATTTAGATCATTTGCATTCGTGCATCACCGTGATACTCTGGGTTAATATTTTCCATCCGGCTTCTTTAAATTCGGCTGGGTTGAGAGCGGCCTGACTGAAATTACTCCGCTCATAAATAATCCACAGCGCTGTGACTAAACCACAAGCTCCGGGGCAGTCATGCCCTCGAGGTGGCAAACCAGGAACGGAGCCAGATCCTGGACTACAGCGGCCTGGAACAAACCCCAGAGGCCTCAGTCAAGACAGCGAGGCCAGGACAGGAATAACAGCGAGGGGTCTGGGAAGCAGCGACAGACTGACTGGGTGTCTGTTTCCTGATACACCAACGCCAGCATAGCAGCACAATGACGCAAAGCAGGGCGTGAAAACACACACACACACCAATGCATGCATAAACACTCACACAACACATAAGTGTGCTTACAGATGAGAAACTTGTATTTGCACGCACATATCTAATATATCGCAATGCTTTTGATGGCAATATATGGAAGCCTGTTTCTGCCACGATGAAAAATATTGACTTTTTATCTCTCAATTCTGACCTTCTTTCCCACAATTCTGACTTTTATTCTCATAATTTCAAGTTTAAATCTCTTAAATGCATGTTACAAACTCACAATTGTAACTTTATATCTCGCAATTATAACTTTATATTTTACAAATCTGATTTTTTTTTCTCAGATTTGC